CCGTTACGTACGTACGTACGTACGTTAACGTACGTAACGTACGTAACGTAACGTAACGTAACGTAACGTAACGTAACGAACGTAACGAAGTAAGTAAGTAAGTAAGTAGTAGTAGAGAGAGAGAGAGAGAGAGAGAGAGAGAGAGAGAGAGAGAGAGAGAGAGAGAGAGAGAGAGAGAGGAAGCATACCATTTTCATCTGGTTCTGAAAGACCAGGAACCCTTCCAGGCAATAGACCCTGCTTCACTGTTGCTAACCCATCCCTTGGAAAACCCAACACTGTAAAGACCAGAGAAAAACCATTTACAACAGCAGACCTCCTCCTCAAGACCAAACCACTCTCTTCTTCATCACTGTTTAGAGCATTTCTCTTAGAGAGAGAAACCATGAAGGGACATGGTGTGGCATTTTGAACTCTTAGAGGGAGAGCACAAGTTGGATAGAGCATGGCATCCATTCCTGCGGCAATTAAGCCCACCATCACTCTCCTTGAAGCTACAACAACACTCAATATTTCCTGATAATGGCCCTTCAATCAAACCAGTGAAAGAGGACTATATATCTACAGAGAAGCTACAGGTTCTGGATTCTAGAGAGCGAGTGGGAAGCTGAGGAGTTCAAGTGTGTGGTCCTCCAAAAGTGTGTTTCCAAAATCCAAACTTTTTGGGAATTTCTCATTAACAAAAATTTACATGGCAATAAATAGGTGGTGGAGATGAAAAGCATTGTTGGGCTACTGTGATGATAGACAGGTTGTGTATTAATTTTGTGCTCTCTCAGTTGTAGTAGTGGCCATTGGGTCGAGTTGCCCCGTTGGGCCTTCAGGTTTTTGTGTTCCGGTATTGGACCCAGCAAGTCAGTTCCTCATCTATGGGTCTAGGTTTGGCTTGAGACCTATTGGGTTGGGTCGGATTGACCCTATCTTGTATATATAAAGTAAATGATACTAATTATATGTTATTAAAGGGAGAAATATGAAGTCCCCTACTAGCAGACAACTATAGTAAATGCTTAATAACTGGGATTGAATTTGGGCCCATATAATGGCCATGATTAAATTTTTTATTTGAATTTTAAATCTTTTTTACAAATTTAAATCATTTGAAATTTGATGCGTCAATTCTTAAACAATAGGTGCATGTAATAAAAATCTAAAAAAAATAAGTTATAAAATTTAATAGACTAAAATACCCTTGAATTTTTTATGAGATTTTCGTCCATTTGAGTTTTGTAAATTATTTTTTCGATACTTTTATTAGGTGTGAATTGATGAGACAAGTGGAGGTCCAAATTTTATGTGTTTTGGATACATATAAAAAATATTAAAATTCAAATATGAAATGCAGTCGTGACTATTAGGTCGGTCTATATTCACTATGGCCCGTTGGACTTCCACTATTCCATCTGCCCAATGGTTAACAAGATCTTTTCTCATTATAAAAATATAACTTTTCTTTTTAAAGTTCTAGACCTAGACTCATTATAAAAATATAAAAAATAACTTTTGACCTAACCTTGGTCTAGATCCAAGCTAGACCTAGTCAATCCTGGTCCCAATCCCGGTCTAGGTTGAAATTTTACTAGGTCCAAGCAAGACTTTGGGGGTTTATTCCGGATCAAGTTTTGAAATTTTTACTTCAAAAACTATCATAGTATTGTAACACACAACCTTCTACAAATAATGGCATGTACCTTCACAAGAAATTGAAGCCAACCGTTTTATTTTTACTAGCGAACAGATATTCCAAAGTTATCCATATTTTTGTACAAGATTCTAACATTTTTAATTGGAAAAAGTTCATATAAGGTATTGCTCTTATATTTTATATGTTAGGGGCACCTTAGAAACCCACTGAAAAAAGTTGTTTTGAGGCTGGAAAACCCTCAAACCCATCAACCTGTTAGGTTTATGTGGCTTTTAAAAGCTTTATGAGTGTGTAATGAAAACACTTACTATAGTGGAACATAAATTCAGTGGGAGTGTGGTCCTTCGAAGACCATACTAAGTAAATAATATTTACAGATAATGGACTGTGCTTGGCGATTTAGGCCGGTTGGTTGGAAAACCCAAGGTACTTGGACATAAAAAATAAACCGAGAAAGGTTTTTGGGTTAGCCCTTGATGAGGTCAGAGCTTATGCCTAGATGAGTGAGCCGAGGGACTGTGTGACCCTTGTGTGTGACGGTAGGCCTACATAGACGGGGGCCAAAACCTCATCTATATTCTATCACACGGCTTGCATATAGATAGATCGTTCCAAAAAATTAGATATCCACCTTTGGGTGAAGCATATGCATGTGTGAGAGATACCCCTATGCACCATAGAACTGTGGTCGCATTAGGTCATGGTGACCTTGACTCGTCTCTAGGGGAGGACCTGCAATCCACAGATTGGGATTGAGACTCCTTGGCTCATTGACCAGACTTTGGTGACCCGCTAATGAGCCTCTGCTTAGACTGTGGGTCATGAAAAACACTGAGTCGGTTCGATAAAACAAGTATGGTCTGTAGTCCACAGTTGAAGGTGGAGTACCCCGTGATCGTTGATTGAATTCTTGAACCATATGGATCTACTTCCCATCATATTAATTTAATAATGTTGATTTTATCATTAAATTAGTTTAGATTTATTATTTGAATTTTTGTAAGTCATTTGATATTTTATTTCTTATTTTTAGACTTATAAAAATGAAGTTATTAATTTATAAAATTATAATATTTTAAAATTCATTTTGTATAAATTTTAAAATATTTATCAAAAAAAAATACATGGGGGCCTATGGTGAACATGGGCCCACCATGTGGGTATTAGGTAGGGCCCCACATACGATACATGGGTGGCACGCCCCTACCCTTGGATACCTTATCTTGTTGCTTTGTCTTCAAGTATGTTAAATATGGTAACTACATCTTGTAGCATGTGGTCAAATATTGACTAGGAAATATTGACCGTATCTTATCTTGATTATTGAAGGAATATCTTGACTTGATATTATTGAAATATTCTTATGGAAAATATGAGATGAAATATGCAATTTATGGTATGCACTATATCTTTAATGGATTTAATTTATTTAATTATATTGATGGGAAAATGGTTTAAGGAAAGGGGGATAATGATTCATGCCTTTCCATAATGTTGTTGGCCCATCTATAGAATGGATGACTTAGATATCTCACCTCACAAGTCACCTTGATCAAGAGTCTATATTCAATTTAAAAAAAGAGACAAACTATGGGAAACCTTAAATAAACCTTAGACTTAAATTTCACTATAAATAGGGGTGCTCTTCCCCCTTCTCAACACACATCTCTCTCTCCCATAACTCTCTCTCTCTCTCTCTTCTCTAGCAGCCACGCCTCTCTCTCTCTCTCTCTCTCTCTCTTTGTTAAAAAGGACCCTAGGCGGCACGCCCCAACATAGTGAGCCTCTCTCTCTCTCTCATGATCTAATCTAAGGGTTGGGAAAAAATTAGGGTTTGAGCCAATTATTTTGGAGTTAGGGTTTTGTAGAGATTTAAGGGTGGTTATCTAGTTTGACCGAAATTAGCTTTTCCGGTTTGATATTGAAGTTGGACCGCTGATCCTGCACCATTGGTAAAAAGCCCGGTTGAGGTAATCTTCGACATCTTTTATTTTAAATGTTTGTTCTTTTATTTTATATTCTCAAGCACAATATTAGGTTGTATGAATGGCATCAAGTAGTTGAGATTTATTTTATTTTATTGATGTGTTATTTAATTTTTGGAATTTCTATTGTTTGTAAAAAGACCATCTGTGAGTGATCTTGTTGATAAATTATAAGGGGTGATTATTATTTAAAAAAAAAATTATATTTTCCCGACAAAAGATTACATAGGACTTTCTTTCATTGGTATCAGAGCTAGGTTTACTTGATTGCCATTATGAGTCTTTTCTTATTTTTGCTTGAAAATATAAAATAATGGTTGCTCGTACCTTCATCTCTAAAATCCTGAAAACCGAAAGGTTTGATGAGACCAACTTTGCTTTATGGAAAAGAAAAATCAAATTTGTGCTCTATGAAGAAAACTTGCATGAGGTACTCTTTGAGGACCGACCTCATCATCCAACTAACGACTCATCTCAAATAATCAAAGATGAGTAGGTCATCTGGAAGAGGAGGAACTTGAGATGCAAACACATTCTTTTATGTGCCATGACTGACTCGTATGCTTCTGAGTACAAGTCAATCTTTATTACAAGTGAGATTTTGATAAACTTGAAAGAGAGTATGTTGAACCCTCTCTCATGAAGCAAACTATGGCTATGAGAAGGTACAATGATTTAAAAATGGTAGAAGGTACGAAGTTTACAGATCATGTGCACGTGTTTCGTGTGCTAGTAAGAGATTTGGAAGATACAGGCATGAAGCCCAATGAATCTATGCAAGTGATTAATTTAATGAATTCTTTTTCTAATTCATGGGAGACTTTCATATCTTCCATCTCTGCTAGAAGAAAGGCACCAAAATTGGAGGAACTCATCACACGACCATCAAATCTGAAAAAGAGAGAAGGAGTTTAAGGCAAACCCCAAGGGATGCTGTGCATATGATAAAATCTCAACCATCTTTTAAATTTAAGAAAAGAAAGGGAAGAAAGACTTTTGAGAAGAAAATATATTTCAAAAGAAGAGATTTTGGAAATAAAGGAGCAAAGAGAGAGACTCGAACTTGTTTGCAAGAAGGTGGGCCACATAGTCAATAATTGTCGGTCCAACAAATCTGGTAGAACTAACAAGGAATTGGCATGTGTGGTTTTCGAGTCCATGCTAGCTGACCCCAAGGAAGCTTCTTGGTGTCTTTACTCAGAGTCTACAGCTCATGTCACAAATAGCAAGGAAGGTTACCGTTCTTTCACTCCCATGGGGCTAAGACAACATCATATTTATATGGGAAGAAATCAGAAGACTGATGTACTTGGAGTTGGAGATTTTGAGCTGAAACTAAAGAGTGGGAGCACCTTGATCCTGAAACAAGCACTTTATGCTCCTGATATGAGGAATTGCTTGGTTTCGGTTTCTAAGATGTTTATGGCTGGATTCATAACCACTTTCATTGGAGAAAGTGGTGGTCCAGAAGGGGAAAAATGTGATCATGACTAGATCACTTGTAGACTGGCTATTTACTATTGAAATAAAATAGAACGTTGCCTATGTCTCATTCCCTAATGAATTAGATGCTACCCTATGACATATGAGGTTAGGACACATTAATATCAAACGAATAGAAATATTAAAAAGGGACGGGATTCCTCATAACTATAAGGGAGATTTATCGAAAGTGTGAGAGTCTTGTGTGCAAGGAAAACTAAGAAGAAAAATACCACTAGAGCAAAAAGAGCTATTAGCGTATTGAAAATCATTCATAGTGACATATGTGGACCTATGAATGTGACCACTAAAAGTGGAAAAAGATATTTTATCTCTTTTATAGATGAGCACCCACGATGTGGCCATGTGTACCTTATTCATGTAAAATCAGAAGCCTTAGAAAAATTCAAAGAATATAAAGCCCAAGTAGAGAATCAAACAAATCTGAAAATTAAAGTCTTTAGAACGATAGAGGAGGGGAATATTTATCTGACCTTTTCAAAGAATTGTGCATTGAAAATGTGATCATCCATCAGTACA